TATGCAACCAACCACCCAAGAATCGCACCAGCAGCCGGATTCGCCGATAAAACCCGAAGGCGACGCCTGAACAACTACCTGGAATCCAGACACACTGCTGCCAGGGACGCAGGCAAGAATCCCACACCTCCCTGCTCCTCCTGTTTCCACCTCCTCCCAGTGCACTTCCTCCCTCCCTATCCTCCTCCCCATCTATCGCGTCAGGAGCGCGACGATCGGCGATGCCAGCAGCGCCTGAACGAGCGTATGTAAGCAGCGCCCCAGCAGCGGTGAGGGCTGAAGCACCGAGCTCACTCGCCCGCAAGAACCTGGGGCTCACGGTCTGGATGCCTCCAACTTTCAGGCTCGCCCGCACAAGCTCAACTATGCATCGAACACCTCACCCCCAGCCCTCTTGGGGTCCCACACGGGTTCGCTCGTGTACGTCGAACTGCTGGCTGGCTGGCAGCGGACAGAGGCCACGGACGGGTGGCCTGCATGGAAGGGAGGGGGAGAAGCAGGAAGAGAGGGAGGGGGGCGGATAACGGCGAAGAGAGATAGAGAGGAGAAAACAATGGTGTCAGGAGACATTGCACATGAAACAAATAATTCAACACACAACGGTAGGACCACTCTTTGGGTGAGTAGGAGGTTGCAGGCGGACGGGTGCGGCCTTCGGTTTGCGATTGGCGTCGGATCAACTTCGCGATCTACCCGTCACTCGAATCCGACGTATCCCTATCAATCTTCATCAAGGTGAGGGGGGTCGAACGGTCATGCATTGTCCCTGGGTGCGTGGCCGAAATGAGAATATGTGGTGACGATTCTTTTTGTTGCGTTGTTGATGAGGCTGTTGCTGTTGTTACTGCTGTTGTTGTTGTTGGTGTTGCTGTTTATTGTCGTCGTCACCCCCACGACCCACCCGCGACCCGCCGCGAACCAACCCAAAACCCACCCCGCGATCCAAACCGCGACCCACCCCGCGACCCACCCGCGATCAACCCCGCGGCCCACCCGCGACCCACCCGCGACCCACCAACGACCCACCCCGCGACCCACCCGCAATCCACCCAGGGACCCATCCGCGACCCACCCGCGACCCACTTGCGACCCACCCGCAATCCACCCCGCGTCGCACCCGCGACCCACCCGCGACCGATCCACATTGGTTTGATGAAAAAATCGGCGCCTGCGGCGGGCTCGTTGTATAATGTGTGAAACTTTGATGCCTGCGGCGGGCTTCTCCAGAGTCTCGCAGACTGCCGACGTCCCCACCGCGCCGTCACTTTTATCCGCATCTGCGGGGTGCTGCGTATTTACTAATCGGCCCCACTACCATACAATATATCGACACATGTTTCTATATAACAACTTTTCGGCTCCACTTTCTCGCTGAACGAACCACGGGACAACCACTGGACAACCGCAAGACAAACACTGGACAAACACGGGACACCCGCGGGACATACCCACCGACCAACCACGAGACAACCGTGGGACAATCACAAAACAAACGCGTGAGGACCACCGACCAACCACGAGACGACCACAATACGACCAGAAGAACGCCGTGGAACAACCTCGGAAAACTGCCCAGGACGGCCCAAGTGGCCCCCCAGAGGCCTCCCAGGCGGCCCAAGAGGCCTCCAAGAGGTCCTCCAGGAGGGCCAGCAGAGGCCGAAATCATTGATGTTTCTTAGGTGTTTGAAGGATGTTGGAATGTGCTTCTTCTCGGCGCTCCGACGGCTCAAGACGCCCCAAGAGGCCCCCAAGATCGCCCCAGAGGCCCCCAAGAGGGCCCCATGACGGCCCAAGTGGCCTCCAAGATGGCCCCAAGAGGGCCCCAAGACGGCCCAAGAGGCCTCCAACACGCCCAAGATGGCAAGACGCCCAAGATGGCCTCCAAGACGGCCCCGAAGCGCCCAAAGAGGGCCCCCCGTTGGCCCAGAAAGGCCCCCAAGACGGCTCCCGACGGCGTCAGACGTGCCAGGAACCCACCAAGATGGCCGATTTTGGCTCGAAGCTGGCCCAAGACGGCCCAAGGGGCCCCCAAGAGGGCATCCAGGAAGGCCAGAAGAGGCCAAAAACATTGATTTTCGTTAGGTGTTTGACGGATTTCGACATATCCTTCTTTTCCGTCTTCCGACGGCCCGAGACGGCCCAAGAGCCCCCAAAGATCGCCAAAAGATCGCCCAAGAGGCCTCCAAGACGGCCAAGATGACCTTCAAGATGCCCACGTGTTCCCCGAATGCTTTCCAAACCGATTCGGGGAACACATGGTCCGATGCCTTGGCAGGTCTGGCCTAAACGTTCGGCCACATAGGCGCTTCCAAAAAGGCAGGGGGCGGGGGTGATTCGCCGTAGGCGTACTAGATATGAACAAAGGTATGTGTACATGCATACATATATGAATCTAGCTGTGCACATGGTTTGAGAGAGCGGGAGAAAAGAAACATAACAAGAGCGAGGGAGAGAGAGGGAGGGCAAGCAAGGAAGCCAGGCGCCCAGACGGCGCATAGGCAGTTCTAAACTCTTCGAACTACACATACAACATATGCAGACATGATCAAACAGAGAACGGGGAAACACATGCAGCCCACTGTAGCTTCGGGCGTCCACATCTGCGCTTGCGTTGCCGCTGCCTTGGTGCGCTTCCTCCCGGCCCACACGCGAGGCCACGCAGGATCTGGCCGTCGGGGAGGCGTGGGATCTTGCTACACAGCTTGCCTTGTCTTTCTGGTAGGTCGTCGCTCAGTGGGCGTGCGCCTGCACGTGCCATCGCATCAGCATCCAGTCTGTTCCGGTCTGCATTCAGAGATAGAGGGAGAGATAAAAGGAAGCAAGAGAGAGAGAGAGAGAGGGAAAGAGGGAGGGAGGAGAAGTGCGAGGATGTGACGAGGAGGATAAAGAGGAGGAGCAGAAGGGCGGGGTGTTGGGGGGGCAACATGGGGGCCTGGGTGGAATTCAGCACCGCCAGCGCGAAAGGCGAGACGCCCGAGATGAGCGACCCGACCACCAGAACCGTCCCGTAATCCTGGCCGGGACGTCCCAGCTTCCTCATCCTTCCCTCCAAGTTTCCCTTCTCCTCCTCCTCTTCAACCACCTCTTCTTCTTGTTTTTCTTCTTCTTCTTCTTATCATTATTATTATTATCATAATTGTGTCTCTTTTTCTTCCTCCTCCTCCTCCTCCTCCTCCTCCTCCTCCTCCTCCTCCTCCTCCCCCCTCTCGGGCGAGAGGAGCCGACAGAAAAAGAGTGCCTGCCCCACGGGGTGGAAGCAGCGACTCCCGGAGTCCGCAGCGCACCGCCGACAGCTCCGCGACGTGCCCCCCCCCCGACAGCAGAGCCGCCGCAGGGCTCCCGGGCGCGGCGCGCGGGGCCCAGGCTCTGGCCGGCGATGGCTGGGCGATCCGGGGGTCGATGCTGCTTGCGTGAGCGTTGTCTTGTTCGGCGTTGCGACGTTGGGCGGAAGGGGGGAGGGGGAGCGGGGGGGGGGGTTCTGGCTCCGGGCCTCTGCTTAGTGCGACTGCTTGCACCAGTGCGTCCCATGGGGGAAGGGGCTCCCCCTGCATGGTTAAAAGGCACCCCAAACAGCCAACATCTACTCCATGAGGGGGCCCGCGGCGATCGGCAAAGCAATAATTAAAACAACGCTCACCTGGCGATGGCTGGGCGATCGGGGATCGATGCGGCTGTCCTGGGCGGTTCCCCCCTGGCGTTGCCGCGTCCTTCGAGGAGGCAGACACCCCTGCCTTGCTTTTCGCACCGCCCCTCGCTTCAACAAGAGATGCCACGCGATGCCCAAAGACTGCGGCCCGATCTGGTCTGGCCGCTTGACGGGGAGGCGAGTGGTGTGCCTTGGTTTCGCCTTGAAGCGAAAGCGGGGAAGGTTTAAGTCGAGTATGTCCTCCCAAAGGCGGATTTTGGAGGAAATATCAAAACAATACAGACATGTGCAAAAATACTAGGAACATCGTCCCAAAAGCATTCCCTACTATTTTTGAATATTCCTCCTGTAATGGAACAGGCCCGACCTAAGGGTGGGTAACTCACGCGCTGAGGTCCTCTGGACACCACAGGCCAAGTCTACCTCCGCTGGGGAAACCTGGGCCCCGGCGGCGGCGAACCTGCCCCCCCCCTGGGCGGGAACGATGCCGTCTTCTCAGGGTGTCGCCCACCCATTCTCCCTTGGCTCAGTGTCTGTCTGGGCTCGCACATCTGGGTGTCGCTGGGCGTCTCGAGATCCACCCGTGGGCGCGCCGCGGCTGGGTTGCTACCGGGCACGTTTGAAGGGGCCCTGACACACACACACACACAGACACAGACACAGAGACACAGAGACACAGAGACACAGAGACACAGAGACACAGAGACACAGAGACACAGAGACACAGAGACACAGAGATACAGAGACACAGAGACACAGAGACACAGAGACACAGAGACACAGAGACACAGAGACACAGAGACACAGAGACACAGAGACACAGAGACACAGAGACACAGAGAGACACAGAGAGACACAGAGAGACACAGAGAGACACAGAGAGACACAGAGACACAGAGAGACACAGAGAGACACAGAGAGACACAGAGAGACACAGAGAGACACAGAGAGACACAGAGAGACACAGAGAGACACAGAGAGACACAGAGAGACACACAGACACAGAGACACAGAGACACAGAGAGACACAGAGAGACACAGAGAGACACAGAGAGACACAGAGAGACACAGAGAGACACAGAGAGACACAGAGAGACACAGAGAGACACAGAGAGACACAGAGAGACACAGGACACAGAGAGACACAGAGAGACACAGAGAGACACAGAGAGACACAGAGAGACACAGAGAGACACAGAGAGACACAGAGAGACACAGAGAGACACAGACAGACACAGAGAGACACAGAGAGACACAGAGAGACACAGAGAGACACACAGAGACACAGAGAGACACAGAGAGACACAGAGAGACACAGAGAGACACAGAGAGACACAGAGAGACACAAAGAGACACAGAGAGACACAGAGAGACACACAGAGACACACAGAGACACACAGAGACACACAGAGACACACAGAGACACACAGAGACACACACAGAGACACACACAGAGACACACAGACACACACACACACACACGCACACAACACCACACACACACACGCACACACACGCACACCAACACGCACACACCGACACGCACACACACCACACACACCCACCACCACACACACAGCACGCACACACACGCCCACACGCACACACGCACACACACGCACACACGCAACACACGCACACAACTCACACGCACACACGCACACGCTCACACCTCACACACGCACACACGCACACACCACGACAGACAGACAGACAGACAGACAGACAGACAGACAGACAGACAGACAGACAGACAGACAGACAGACAGACAGACAGACAGACAGACATACATACACACACAAACAAACAAACACACACACACATACATAGATACACACATACATACAAACAAATAACAGGATTCTCCATATTTTCCAATATATTTTGGGTTTTTGTCTTCCCCCCACTTCCCATATTTTCCCATTTTTTTTTAAGGAATCGACGATGAATGGTGTCTGTGTGTTTTTGTCCCTCCTGCACGTTGCAGGGGACGCGTGCCGCCCTGCAAGCTGCGCGTGGAGCCCTCGTGGCAGCGCATGCTGCCGGCGGCCTCGCCGCACCGCACTCCTGCGCAGGCGTCCGGCCTCCACGATCCTCGGAGGGGCCCGCGGGAGCCGCACTCGCACGGGCATCGGTGACCGCGCCCCCGTCGTCGGTGGGCGTGGCGGCTCCCTGGGAGGCGCCGCACGCCGCGCGGGCGCGGCGGCGCGGGAGACGCTGGGCCTCCCCGGGAGGCGCTGGACGATGGCGGCGGCGGCGGCGCCTCGCAGCTCGAGGTCGGCCCCGATGGTGCTGGGCGGCGGCGCTGGCGCTGCGAACGCGCCGAGCGGGAGGCTCGGCAAGGCGGCGGCCTCTCTGGCCCGGGTGCGGCCGGCATGCTCAGCGGCGCCCGGGCCGACGGCTCGAAGCGAAGCGGGGCGGAGCACAGGCGACCGCGTGCGCACCGCGGCGGGCCAGAGCGCCTGGCGCGCTGGCGACGTCATCGGTGCACGTGGTGCGAGCGTCCGCGCTCGTCTCGACGGCTGGCCTGGCGGCGCTGCGCGGCGCGCGGTGGCTGATGGGCCCCGCGACAGCCGTCAAGAGGAAAACGGAGGAGCTGCGGCGCGCGGTGCGGCCGCCGCGTCCGCGGGGACGGCAGGCCGCTGCGGTCCTCCTTGGCATAGTTTTCGATCCTCTGGTCCCTGGGCTTGCCCCGATTCGGTCACTGTGTCATCTGCTTCGGTCCCTCTCTCCCTGGTCCTCATTTCTCGCTCGCTCGCTCACTCCACCTATCCCAAAGAATGAACGTCACACTCTCAACGTGCAAAAAGCACCACCCCCATCAACCGAGAGGACCATCTCGATTTCCCCCGCTGCTGCGCAAGTCCCTGGGACACGATGTGTCCGAGACGCCGAAAATGCCATGCAATAGGGAGGGGGAGGGAGCACGGTAGCAGCAAGGCAGACAGCGGGGCGGCGGCGGCGGCGATATTGCGACACTTTCGTCGTCGTCCTTCTCCTTCTCATTCCTCCTCCTCCTCCTCGCTTTCCCATCTCCTCCTCCTCCTTCCCCCTCCTGCCCTTGCCCCCTCCTCACTGCTCCCCCTACACTGCCCTCCCCCCAACCCTCCCGACCACCTCCTCACCTCCCCCCCCTTGCCTCCCCTCGGAGGGTGCATGGAGGAGGAGCAGGGGGAGAGAGAGAGAGAGAGAGAGAAAAAAAAAAGACAGGGGGAAATGACGGGGGGACCGCAGAACACAGCTCGCGGAAGCCAAAGCGCCAATCAACGAGAGTTCATGGCACCCAGAGCGTTGCAGCTGGCATCGATCACGATCCGAGGTGAGGACTCTGAGATGGCAGATCCCGGGGCCACGGCCGCACCCACCTGGTCTGAGCTAGGCCTGGACGCTTGTCCGCAACAGTGGTCGGGCGTTCGGTCCTCCCCTCGCCCCCCTACTCCTCCTCTCCCCTCTCCCTCCTGCTTCTCCCAGCTCCTGTGCAGCACCTTCCCTCTCCTCCCCCCGACCCGCCGCCAATCCCCGTCTACTCCTCCACCCTTCCTCCGCACACCTGGGGGTGAGGGTGGGTCTAAAGATAGGCGGGAGGAGACGGCGGAAAGAGCGAAGAAAAAGAGGATGAGGAGAAGCACCAGTGTAAACCCAAGGCGCATCAACGGCGTTGCGGCCATACACCCTCCCTTAAAAGTTCCTCTTCGTGTCATTGCGGGAAGGGCCCCGGTGGAAGACAACCGTTCAAGAACCCTCAATCGTGCCAGAACAGAATTCCTTGGACGTCTGCGCCGCGAATCAACGTGCCTGTTGCGTCCTGGCAGTCCCACATCGCGTCAAGACAACATTGCTGGGTTTTTAACTTCACGGATCATCAATACTGTTGCGCCCTGACAATCCTAAATCGTGCCGGAACGCAGTCTCTGGGACTTCAGCCATGCGAATCCTTGAAACTGCTGCAAGCTTTTGAAAGAACGTGCGGGGCGCTGACACGATAACCGCAATTTGAAAAGGAACCGCCCTCAATCCTTGAAGCTGCTGGAAGCTTTCATAACGAATGTGTGCGGCGCTGGCGAGACCTACATCTGAAAACCCAACGGCCCTCCATCCTTGAAACGATTGCAAACGTTTGAGACGAATGCGCGCGGCGCTCGTGTGAGAAAGACAATTTCAAAAGGACCTGCCCGCAATCCCTGAAACTGCTGCAAACTGCTAAGACGAATGTGCGCGGCGCTCAAGCGAGAACCATAATTTGGGAACGACACGCCATGCATCCGTGAAAAGGGTTATGACATTCTAGCTTCATGATCATCAACAGTGAGGAAGTCTTGAGCGAAACGACCGACCCGCCGGCCTCACTGACACGCCTGTGGGTGCG